TTCCAGTTCAATTTTACTGGACTTATAAGCGAGCCCAACACTGAATTATACTGTATAATACGTACGTACAAAATTAACCATTTATTGTTATATTAAATCTTAAACCGAGCAAACTTTATAACTTTTAAAAAGCAAAATCTAAAATTCAAATATAAGAAACATTGTCATTTATGCGTTGGACAGAAATGTGCATAAAAGTAATAATAAAATATTTTCGCTTAATTATTATTATTTGAGGTTTTTTTACAATAAGCTTAGATTTGAACTAAAGCATTTACTTGTTTTTTTACAAGTTTTTAATGAATTGGCTAAGTCATACACCGAAAGTTTATTACCGAATAAGAAAAGTTCTCGATACATTATAAACTCCTAGTAATAATTCGAAAAATAAATTCTCATTACGGATCATTAACCTTTGCTTCTCTAGTGAATGACATCTAGTTTCAATTACTTTTGGTAAATTTTGCCGATGATCTACCTTTAGCAACACTAACTATAAAGCAAGCCAACCCAATCTAAATCGGACCAAATTTATTGACGAAATAGCTGTCGGTAAAATGGTTAGCGAAATTGGTTTATACCGAGTATCGACACTTTTCTGATCATGGAAATTAAACCATGATCACAAGTAATTCATTTATCAATTAACAAATGGAAGACTACATAACTAATAAGCAACCAATTTTCAACAAGGACCTTTACTTTTCTAAAAACTGTTAGGACTTATCGAATTTCGGATAGTGGAAGAGTTTATTTGAATGTGAAGAATTTTCATCATACATTTCCGATATAACAATTAGACCTAATATATTATATCAATTTATTTAACATCTCCTGTTTAGTAGCTAAATCATTCTTAGGTTCTTAATTTGAAAATGAAAACGAAATTTTAATAATTTATAACATTGATTTAATAAAGTTGATCGATTTTTGAATTTGATACTATTGACCAAAAATAGGTCATATATTTGGGTTTTAGTCATTATCCCAAATGATGTAAAAATTCCGATTCCCAGATCCAAACTAAGTGATTATGTCATTCACTAGAGAAGCAAAGGTTAATGATCCGTAATGAGAATTTATTTTTCGAATTATTACTATCCACACCTTCCATTTCTTCATTCGCTGGAATTTCGTTGAACATATATTGCTCCTGATATTCTTTCAGGTAATTCACGGACCTTTTTTCATCTAAGAATAATTTGTATACTCGTTTGATATCATTGGCATCCACTGTCGTTGACTGTTATAAAATAACAAAGATATTTAAATATTGTTTATGTGTGCATGTAATATGGTCTTAATGACTTTCAGTGATAAATACTAACTTTGCGCTTTTTTGCGACAAGATGAGATGTAGTAATTAGATGAATAGCATA